GCTCATTGAAACGACATCTCTTGGGATCCGCGCATGACAAATTTGTCACTATTTTCCTCTTTTTCCATTGCCTTTATTGATAAAATCGGAAAGTACCCCATAAGATTAGCAACCCTGATCTGAGCAGGTGGAACGGGGGAGATGGATACGACTCCTCTTTTGACTCTCTGTGACAAGGGGCGCAGGAATGGAGCACCGTATATTTATAAATTACTCAGATTTTCGGACCGTGTTAGGAGGGAGGGGGCGAGGGGTCAGGGGTCGCATCCGAGATCAGGGGTGTAAAATACCTCTCGAAAAAGAATCGAAAGGGACTAGGGACCCCTGACTCGGAAACTGAGATGTCAAACAACTCCTAAATATTTGCTGACAGCCCGATTAGGGATCTGGCTCCTCTTTCCGCCCTGTTGTCGCTGATTGCAAGGATGGAATCCTCTTTTTCTAATAATTTATCGTAAGCTTCCAGAATAGTATTACAGCGAGTATCAACGAAAATTCTGACCTACAGCAGTTGATACCCGTGTATTTACCTTTCATTTTTCTTCACCAAAATTTGCTAGTGGCGCTTTAAATTTGCAAAAGGACTCCTAGATTGTTTTAGTTTCATACTAGGGAGTCGCACTAAACGACGAAAGGAGGACCCTTAAAGAAGTTGGTAACATCTATGTCTCTTTTTGTTGTAAGTACTCTGATATTTGAGCCAATCATCGGTAGAAGGAAGTGCCAGTCTTGCAATTTTGCTAAGATTGAGCATAATCCAGAAGATAAGCCTGAATTTTCAAAAATTGCAGTAGAAAAAATTTTGCGAGTTGCTCATTTTTCCATAAGCATAGTTGTTTGATCGGCCGGTTGATATTTTCATTGCCTTTTAACATCAATAATTGATTTTAGACACACGTTTTCTCAATTAAGGGAGCTTGGAGGACAAGGCGCAATAGAACCGTTTTTGCTCTTTCGAGAAATACGTGTTCAAAGTTTCGGAATCACATAGAACCTTAGGGCTGACTTTTTGCTTAAAAATTGAAATTTGGGAGCAAATTTTTCGTAGAATATGTATTAAGACTAGTTTTACTTGTGAAATCATTAATTTATCGATTTTTTCAAAAATTGCACTTGTGCGCCTTGCCCTCCAAACCCCTCAATTCTGCTCGGATGTCCTTTTATCGAAGATGTTTTTAAACATGTTTCTTTCACGAGCATCAGCTCCAAGGAGAATCTGCTCCACGCGGCATCATCGCGAGCGAAGAAAATGAATCATGGAGGGCAAGGAAGTGTTTTCTAAGTTAGAAAGAGCCGAATGGGTCGTTTGAGAAAATGTTTACGTTTTTGTGCAGCGAGGCCTGAAAATACGAGCGGAACGCGCCGCGCCGAAAGAGACAGGGCCAAGACCCGGACCCGGGGCCCTCGACAATATCTTTATTTGAGCATAGCTAATTCCTTCATAATACCTTCTTCCGTCGACTTTCTAACTCCGGCACAATGTGCCAAAGGGCCCTTGTTGACATTTACCCTGTGTTCCGAATGTAAATGCCTGTCACCGGCCTCCACGGTGAAATTTACGCACCTCTACATGTTTACAGTCCGGAGGACCATTTATTTGTCTGGACGCAGATATGTGCCCCGATACAAATAAAACTGAGTCCTTGTGTCTGTCCTAGTTTTGACTTTTGTTTGCGCCACGTTTTGACGGCTTCACACTGACCGGTTTGGGACAATACGGCCCTTTCGGCCCGTCTCCCGGCCGAAAATTCCGGCCATTCGCTTTCGGAATTCGGCGCTTTTTTCACTTTCCAGGCCCCTTTTATTGGATCGTAGTTTCACTTTTTTTGGACCTTTTGAATTCAGGTGCATCGTTAAGACGGTTATAAATCAAAGGACTGGTGGATTCTACGAAAGTCGCATGAAAGAAATATAATTTTTAGTACTCTGCCTATCATTATAAACCATATCATTCAATCCTTCCTAATATTTTTCCTATAAAAAACGTCAATAAAATTGAAAAAAAAAATCATGAATTAGCGCTCATTACGGAGATTGAACGCATCGAACCAGAATGTGACCGAATACATTTTATGCGATGGCTTAATTTACTTCCAGGCTTTCTTCTTTTTCCCCAAAAAGTAATGAATGATCTAGCTTCTAATTGAATATCTGTCCCTTTTTACAATACATTCTCACAAAAATTTCCAGCAATAGTATGGCTTAGTTTTTTGTTAAAAAAATTAAACATGAGAAAAAACAAGTCAACATCTGATGCAGTTGGTCTCTCCAGGAAACCATGAGACGGAACCAGAACACCCTGTGATCGATTGAATTGTCTCTGCATAGCAACACGTGTTGTAGGGTCTCAGACCCTGATCACCTTTTTTCAAAAAACTGGATCACCGCTATTCCTAGTATTGGCCCGGGCCTGCTGACCAGCCGGATTTTGAAACGAATGCCGCCCCATAAAATGGAGACGTAAACATAATTTATGACACCATATTGTCTACGTGATCTCTGCTACATTGTTGCTCGGTAATTTTCGAAAGCAATGAAATTAGTTTTATTGAGCCGGAACACATCTCTCAAAACATGAAAGGTCGTTCTGGCTTAATGTGAATAGCATTTATACAGAAGGAATCGAGCGTATAATACAATTTTAAAAACACCTATCTATGCGAGGAAATAATAGCAATTACCGTTTTTTTTTTTTTTTTTTTTTTTTTTTTTTTTTTTTTTAATAGACCGAAAAGCGTTGGCTTACTTATAATAGATACCAGCCGTTTATTGTGGCTCTATTCCTATCTCCGTTCATAGCCTCGACAACAGAAGTATAGAAATTCTATAGCATAAAAAAATGAAACATTTATAATTACTGCGAATTTGTTCTTATTCCTACAAAAGATAATGATAAAAAATGGATTATTTTCTTGGAAAAATGAAATATTTGACAAATTTCGAGAAAAATCATACTAAGTAAAACGGTTAAAGGGTCTATACTTTGTGAATGAATAATGAATACATTTTCAAATATAGAAATTAGAATATTGTCAAAAAAATGAGTAAAAATAAACAGAATTTTGAAAACGAAAATTATTTTAGGAAAGGCGTTTGACTCATCATTTGGCATGAGGACGTCATCACACAAGAATTACTGAGATTTCCTTACTCTCCTATAAATATCTTCTCAGAATTTTGCTTAAAAATGCTCATTATTATTTTTTTAAAAAAATAGAGTAAGAGTAGAAATTTTGAAACGCTACAAATGCGATGCGCACCCATGGTTTCACCGTCGCCATGATACCTGTTGTGTTGCATGAGAAAACCTTTCCGCATAAGCCATAATATGATCGATCGTTCTCATACATTTCAAATTACAATAAAAACAAAATTTACCTCTCGGTCCGACCGACTTACGCATAACCGAAACTAAATCCAGGCAAGATGTTGCTGATAACGGCCTTACCTGGGGTGGGCAACTGAGACGAACATCCGAACTGTCATGCTAAGGAAAAACGACGTAAGTGCCTCCAGACGTTGCCAATTTTCGTTTAATTAAGCAATATCTTTTACAAATTTCTGGATATTTTCCTTCCAACTCTCGAGAGAAATTAATTTGCAATTTGATTTAAAGTATCTAAAAATGTTAAAGGTATAAATATTCACAATGCTCTTCCGAAATTAATATTTTATCACGTGATATTTGGTTACAATTTTAACAGAGACGCGCCGAATGCATCAAATTTGAAGCGAGAAAAAGAGGTTTAAAGCTTTATCTTTCCTTCATAAAGCATATTCGGGACCATACTTCCAATAAATTTTTTCACATTCGAAATACCTTTCCTCGGATTTGAATTTTTAACAAGAAAAAATTACGACTTAATAAACTCAAAACTACCTACAAATCATTTTTTTTTTCAAAATGCGACTTGGTGCGTTCTGATTAAATTCGGTCCATTTGGCACCAATCGGATGTTCATACGACGTTTTTCTTTGTGCGAGAGGGCGGGGCGATGGTATAATTGGTTATGAAAGATTTTTGAAGTGCAAGACGTAAGATCCTTTACGGAGGCATTGCAACAGGATTAGGGTTGTAACTGGAGCCTCATGACACAAGACACAAACACCCCCGCCCTCGGCTACTTACCTCGTGACGCGTTAACAATATCTATGTTATTATCCCCGGATTAGCTTGATATGCTTATATTGTCGTTTCCGCCACCTTGGCAAACAAAACCTTCCCTTTTGTTCGCTAAGGTATGAGATTTGTCCCTGTTGCCGCGTGGCTTCGGGAATTTTATTAAAAATGCCGCCAATATTCTAAAATAAAAAAATAAAATTAAAAAAAACCTCAATTTCTACCTATATGGACTAGATTTTGCAGTTAGGGACGACAATTTCTGGCTCAGTTTAGAAACAACATGTGTATCATGAATTCCCCTATGCTTATAAGTGTTTTTGCGAATGAGGTAGCAGCAGCAACAGTTCAAAATTGTTTTGAAAATCTTTCATTATAAAAAGGCAACTCTTAAACAAATGATAAAAACCAGAAAGAATATACTACGGTATTCCAAGCAAAATTTACTAAAGGCGCAATTTAAGTGGGGAGCAATTGTGAAATGATCTCCTATAGTTTTTGACAGTCCGAGCGACGCTTCTATTCACTAATTTCTGATGGTTCCGGTATCGTGTCTCACCAAAAATCTTCAATTTCTTCTCTCAAATTACGTTACAAATCTAAATTAGCGTATTGCTCTGCCATCCGAATTCTGTATCCTTTTCCAAGATTATTCTTCTGTAAAAATATGAACAACCTTTGAAGCTGAAAGTCATAACTGAATAACTAATAGTTTTAGCGAACTTGATCGCACTCCGTAACATATATCTTCATCTGAAGACGAAAAGGTTCAGGGACCAGCTAATTGTCTTTGAACGCTTCACTTGTTTGTTTTCTTCATCATTAATGATTAACTAATTAATAAATCAAACTAATTTCATGGTGTCTTGTTGTGTTTCAGGTTCATATACGATCACATTTTATAATGAATGGTGTTTGTGTTAGATGGAAAGGCTGGGTCGATTTAGAGAGACTGGATGGCGTTGGATGCCTGGAATTCGACGAGGAGAAGGCAATGGTAAGTTAAGTCACATTTTCCCTACTTAACGTCAGAGGTCCTTTCCCAAGTCCTCAAAATTGTCAACGTATCAGAACCTAAAATACACAGGGCCGGGTTTACCTACTTGCCGCCCATGGGCCGCCTGTATTTTGCCGCTCCTTCACATTCGTTATGAAACATCGATACAAACCATCAAGTGAACGTGCTGGAGGAGGAGGAGGGGTGCATAAGAAGCATTTACTCATGTGGGGCACATTTTTTGTGAAAGCCCTGTCAGCACTAGCAAAAGTTCACAGAACTTTGCGCGAAAATTAAGTTCCGTAAACCTATCTCTGTGTGGACGAGGTCTTTCATTTATAAGAAGAGAACGAACAAATTATGAAAGAAAAACAAGAATGTCATTTAATGATTTTAATTTTCGCCGCCGTGCCAACCGCACTGTGTTTGGCGCAATGCGTGAAGTATCCTTACAGTCTTGTAGGCGATATGCGTTTCACGCCGACCGCTGCTGACCGCACTGTTTTTGACGCAATGCGTGGTGTATTCATGCAGTCTTGTAGGCACTATGAGTTTCACGCCAACCGCTACCGACCGAACTACATTTAACGCAATGCGTGAAGTATTCATGGAGTCTTGTAGGCGCTCGTTTCATGCGGACCGGCGCGCCGAGGGCTTCTCCTTTCCATCTCAAGTCCTCGTCATCATTGCTCTCTGCGCCGCGCCGCTCCAGACCAAATTGCGTGTTTGGTTTCCCTCTCAACTAGACTAATGAAAGGCGCTGTCTCTTGTATCACCGAAAGACGAACAAATTAGAAATTACTATACTTTAACTCTCAGGAAATTAGAGATTTTTTCGCCTTTTCTCGTTTGTAATTTTTTTTCTGAATCAGATTTTTTTCTTGATACCTACATTTGAAAAAATTACAACATTTGCCGCCCCCTAAACTTGCCGCCATAGGCTGCGGCCCATGTGGCCACCCCCTGAATCCGGTCCTGAAAATATGACCATCCACAATGGTTACAAGTACAGATTGTTTCGGTTAAGTGTTTTTTAAGCCAATTTGGAAAGAGATCTTGGAACAAACCAGAGGTGGGTTAATTGAACTCAGTTTATTTTTTATAAATTTAAAAAAAATGTATATTATTCTATGTTACAGATAGAAAACTCTCTGTTACACGATCAAATGGAGAGGTATAATCAGAAACTACGAGACTTCGAGGAGAACCGACGGGCGTACAGGGCACAGTCAGACCGATCGCACAAATTTTTGAACACCCACGCCCCCACCGAGGCAGCCGATTCGATAATGGGTGCGCACCGACTCGGAAATTGTTAAACGTCTCCCACCATTCCCTTTCGTGTTGTTCCGGCGTTTCTTTCAATGGTGAGCAAAAAAACAATTGAATTTAACTTACGAAGTATAAATTTTCAGTTGAGAATATGGCCAATCTCCAGAACCTTCGCTTTCGGGCGGATTTTCTTTTTTGCCTGGAATCAATCAAAAGGATCTTCAAGGTGGGGAAAATGGACCATAAAATAGCTCTTTCATGATCGAGAAGGGTTAATTCTGCATTATTTGACACCTCGAACACGCAAAAGTCTCAAAAATTAACACAGAGTTTAATCGATAAACCGCGACACCGAGAAAAATTTAAGTTCAGTTTGCATAAAAAAAAATTTTCTTGAAACATCGTTTTGACTCAAAGCGTGGTTTCTTGTGGGCAAAATCTTTTTTCCTTTTTTTTTAGTTAAATCCGTGGGGATTTAACTCAATGTCAGTTTTTTTAGTTAAAGGTTCAAGAAACGTTTTTTCATCTTTTTTTTAAACTTAAACGTTTCTTTAATCCAAAAAAGTGAGTTTAAGTTAAACCCGCACAGATTTAACTAAAAAAAAAATTGTCGACAAGAAACGACGCCTTAAGTCTAAATAATATTTCAAGCAAAACATTTTTGGAGAGAATCTCTAAATAAATAGCCCACGAAACGAAGGTATTTAGATTTTTTCACAGGGAGGAACGCCATGCATATCTCAACAACATCTGATGGCGCTTACCGGGTTTTGAATTTCAATCTTCAACTATCGACCCTGACAAGATCCCAGACAGACGAGTCGATGACGTAATTGGGTTCGACAGGGTGAAATATCGAGAAAAATACCGGCACCGGTGAGCGCGCAGCGACAGCCGAGGAAACCATATTTTGAGCGAGGTGTGTAATTTGTTGCCTCGGATGACAGGTTCGTCGGGTCGTAATGACGTCTCGTTCTGAACAATCTCAACTTCCACCTGCATCGGTTATCATTTAAAATAATGCCGCCGGGTTAATCGCCGGGTAAATGGCCCTTTTTCCCCCAAAGAGACTCGAGTTGGGCTCTAAATGTTTCTGTCCATCCCTTCGAAATGACTGGATCATTACCATGTTTATAGAAATACCGATGCGCTGAAGGGAAAAAGCATCCGGTCGTTCCAGAGACAAGTAAAGAGTCTTGGCGACACAGATAGAAATCTCTACTTTCGGAGCTTGCACTGAAATATTTTGGTTTTTTTAAGTTAAATCCGTGCGGGTATGATTAAAAATAAGTTTTTTTGCGTTAAAAGAACGTTCTTTTGCTATCATTATGTTCACTGGGAAAAAAACACATTGGATCTAGAGTCCAGACTCTTGAAAACATTGACAAGAAAAAATACTCTTGATTCAATCGGATTTTTGCTTGAATCAAAACGAAATCCGCTAAAATTAAGAGGCTTGGTTCTTGATTTAAGCTAGATTCTGATTGAATCAAGAGTACTTTTTCTTGTCGATGTTCTCAAGAGTCTGGACTCTAGATCCAATGTATTTTTTTTTTCCAGTGTTAAAGTTTAAAAAACGATGGCAAAACAACGTTTCTTTACCTAAAAAAACTGGCTTTAAATTAAATCCGCATGGATTTTACTCGAAAAAATCAAATTTTGTCGACAAGAAACGACGCTGTAAATCAAAAATATCTCAAGAAAATTTTCTTCTAATGTGCTCCACCCAGAGACTATATATTTTTGAGACCCCGCACTGCGTTAAGTTACATTTGAAAGTCGACGCTCAGATTCGTCAAGTAACACGTAACTCACTAAGGAGACTTTATAGTCAAGCTTAAAAAAACTTAGGACCCAATTTTCGAGGAAGTGACTTATTTACTCAAAGCAAATCCTGCGGAAAAGAATTTAAATGTTTCAGTGGAGGAGTAACATCCCCACAATGCACCAAAAATTAGCCCTTGAATTCCATCGAATTGTTATCGCTCTTATCGACAAAGATGTTATTTCTTCTGTGAGGTAGACATAGTGACATAATCGACATAGGGACATAATCAACATAGTGAAATAATCAGCATAGTGAAATAATCGACATAGTGAAATAATCGACATAGTGAAATAATCGACATAGTGAAATAATCGACACAGTGAAATAATCGACACAGTGAAATAATCGACGTAGTGAAATAATATCGACATAGTGAAATAATCGACATAGTGAAATAATCGACATAGTGAAATAATCGACACAGTGAAATAATCGACACAGTGAAATAATCGACACGGTGAAATAATCGACACGGTGAAATAATCGACACGGTGAAATAATCGACACGGTGAAATAATCGACACGGTGAAATAATCGACACGGTGAAATAATCGACATGGTGAAATAATCGACATGGTGAAATAATCGACACAGTGAAATAATCGACATAGTGAAATAATCTACATAGTGAAATAATCGACATAGTGAAATAATCGACGTAGTGAAATAATCGACATAGTGATATAATCCCCTAAACGCGGAATATTTTTCACTTTTTACTCTCTTTTTCTCCTCGCTGACCCTACCTCTCACATGAGTGCGTTCACATCCACACGTGAAGTAATTGACAGATGAGGCCTCTGACAAAAACGTGATTTGCCGATTGATCTGGCAGAAAAACTATGACGAATTGACCTCCACGCTTTTTCTCGGCCGTTGAGTGATCACTCACTCGCTTCTCAAAGCCCCGCGCGATTTCAATAAGGAAATTTGCCCGGTTGTTCTGATCCTCCAAACTCCAGCGTTCCTAAGCGTCTCGTGGCTCAACGAGAAACGCACATATTCCCTTTCAGAGAGTGACCCTTCCAGAGGAGGCCTGTCAGTCATCCGCTTTTTAAAACTCTTAAAAACAGCTGGTGCCTGCACCCTCGTGCCCAGACGCACTCGTGTCGCCAGCCTAACTCCTGCTAAAGTATCGAAATATATCGAATTGATTCCGCCGCGGAACGTCTGGAAGTCGGTAATAGCCCTCCTTTGAAATGTATCCGTTTTCCTGTTCTGACCCCTCCACCCCCGGATCAGTTTCACTCGGCATCCAAACAATCGTCTTATCCCTCGATAAAGTGTCTGAAATGAGATGTTGCAATGTGTTGCATCCGACAGACTCGCCGGTCAATAATCAACTCCTGTCGACGTTTCGAACCGTTCTCCTTTGCTCGATTGGCCAATCGAAATTCAGCAACCTTGTGAATGCGCTCTTTTAGAACCCTCGCTGATGAAGATGTCAATTTTTGCTTGTATTCATACTCCGCAGTAGGTCAGTTTTGCCTGTTAGAAAATCGTATTTTAATAGTGGTGTGAAGAAAGTTATTAGAAAATAATGGCATTGTGTTTAAATGCCAAGATCCATGCCGTCCATCGGAAACGAAAGAGATGTGCTATTTCAGAATAATTGCGCTAATGAAGAAGTCAGTGTCTTTATTCTCTGCAATAGGTCAGATTAATCTGTCGGAGGATTGCGTTTAATAGTGGTATGAACCACACCAGAGGAAAGTAATGAGATCAGGTCCGAATGCGAAAATTTAATGACTGTAATTAACGAAGATATTGCCCCCTTGAAGCCACTTTCGATCTAGTTTTCCAACGCGTCAGTTCAAATTAGTTTTTTAGACTTTTCTTGTACAGTCTACGTTATTTATTTTTTATTTTGGTTTCTCCAATTTGTCACCGTTCATAATGAATATGAAGCACCTTCCGGGTGAAAAAAATAACAAAAGCTCGTGATTAAATCAAGCTCCCAGAATTATTAAAAACTTCAATTATTATTGTATTTTTTTCTTTTTTGTCGTATTAAAAATCCGTTAAAATTGCAAGCTTTAGTGCGAGTTGAGATCTTGTAAAATTTTCGCAATGTGCTTGATTTCCATCCTGATGTGCTTGTGAATCTAACCTGAACCTAACCTAACCACACCGATCACTTCTCATCACCTTATGTGGGCTAAATTATGCTTGAAATTATGGTTTACTTTCTTTACTCAGCGTTCAAGTCTCTGCGATTAGCCTTTGCTGATTCTTGGCTGTCTCTTGTAGTTGGGGCAGGTTTACGCTGTTTTGTCGGCGAGAGATGATAAACACACAATGGCGACGACTCATTTATGTCCTGACATCCAATTTTCTTGAAGATGAAAGTGGGTCCACGAAATGGGTCGAGGGAAATGGAACCATCGTGAATAACATTTCGGGTTCGTTGAGGCAGGTTTGGGGCAGGCGACCTTATTGTTGAGATTGAAATTATTAAGCGCATTCGCTTACTCGGCGACAGATATAAATTACTGCAGCGCCTTTGTTTAATGAGACAAGAAAAGGGGCTCTGTATTCCTGGGACAGATAATAAACGTTAAACACATAATTTAAAATATATATTTCTTTGAATTCGGGCCTACAGTCAGTGTGGCCCTAGGGGTGCTCCAGAATACGAGGTAGTCTCGGGGCGACAGTTTATATCATCAAGTGACCCCTATTTTTCAGTGCCCCAGTCGTATGAAAATGTAGACATTGATACCTGTGATAGTGAATAGATAGGTGGTTATGTGTTCTATCACTTAAGTGGATCTGAGACCGGATTCGCTGCAGTGACGATCATTTTCAATTTATCGATGATTTTTGATGCAGCGCCAAATTTTGATTGCAGCAGTTTTAAATGTAGGTACTTCATTTTGCAATAAGGGACCTCGATCCACGACTTATATGGATCCATGGGAACTCCTATTCCAATGGGGAAAGTAACGTCACCTAGGATGTTTCTAATTTAAGCCAATGTATCAACCCTTTAAAAGAATAATAGACAATACTTTGCAATTAGAAGAACAACATGCAGATAGGTGTTTTTGCAGGTGAACTAGGTCTTAATTGCAAAACGTGGTCCAATTCGTAGGCTCCCTCACAAAATAACATAATATTCCAATGTTGTCAAATTTCCCCTAAAATTGAATTTTTACAAGGAGAATCTAGGATATTTCTGATCAAAAAGTTCCTTGATATTTTATCTGATCTCATGTAAAAATCAATAAAATTTTGGACAAAATTGCACATTACATTTTTGTTAAA